GGAACTGGGAGGAGGGGAGTTATGGGGGGGAAAAAAAGAGGAACAAATGTAATCTGAACAATAAAGATTTAATTAAAAAAAATAAAAAATAAAAATAAAAAAATAAAACATAAAAAAAAAAGAATTGCTAAAGAACTTCTAGAACCTCTTCTCTGAGTATCTGCCTCAAAAATTAGAGTAGATTAGAAACTCTTATGGTTCTAAACAAAATACCATGGCTATTCAGCCATGAGAGAAGATGAAATACTGCCATTTGCAACCACATGGACAGACCTTGAGAATATTACGCTAAGCAAAATAAGTCAGTCAGAAACAGCTAAGAACTATAGGATTTAACTTACTTGTGGGATATAAAACTGAAACTCAGACACAGGTAACCAGAGGGAAGAGGACTGGGGGGTAGTAAAGGGTAAAGAGGGCCAAATATATAGTGATAGAAAATGATTTGACTTTGGGTAGCAGGCACACAATGCAATATACAGATGAAACCTTTATGATCTTATTACCCAACTAGAGGCCCAGTGCATGAAATTCCCTAGGCCTGGCCAGAGATCAGGGCCGACTGGCTTTATGATCTTATTACCCAACTAGAGGCCCAGTGCACGAAATTCCCTAGGCCTGGCCAGAGATCAGGGCCGATTGGGGCCTTCTGGCTGCTGGCCAGGGCCTCCCTTCGGTCTGCACCGCCCCTTGGTGGTCAGCACACATCATAGCGAGTAATCGAACTTCTAGTCTCTCGGTCGAACTCCCGAGGGGACACTTTGCATATATAGATAAGATCACTTTAAACCTGTATGATCTTATTAACCAATGTTTATCACAATAAATTTGATTAAAAATAAGAAATTTGGCCCAGAAAAAATAAATAAATACTATCTATTGCATAAGTGAACTGGTATTTAGAAATGTGACAAATATGTTGTTATATAATAAACCTTTCAAATTATCTAAAATTTTAAATATCTATGTACAATAACTATTTTTAACATTTGAGTGTTTAAATAAGAATACATATTCAAACACAAAACATACACATTGAAAATATTTATTTAAGTTAAGGATAATGATATTCCTTAATAGTTTGAAAAGTGATCAATAGCACATGGACCAATAGCATATGACCAAAAGCAAACAGAAAATTCATGAGTGACACAATTTACATGCATTTTCAAATAAAAAGAAGAAATTAAATAGAAATAAATGGGTAAGAAGTAAAAGACTAATTAGTTGGTATCTAAAAATTGTATCCTTGTATTTTAAAAAGATCACTGAAAAAAAGTGTAACACAAACATATATATTTACATATATGTAAAATGCAAAATGATAGAAATAACCGAAGCACGGCTTTGCCAAATTACTCCTAATATTCTCTTACACTCATATACTTTTATATTAATAACTTCATTAAATAAACATAACAGGTAACTAAAATAAAAAGGTATGAAAGGGTTCTTTTCCTAAGCTCTGATAATATCTAGAAAATCTCATACGCAAATGTGCCATAGTTATAATTCTTAAAATAAAAGGATTTTTTTAATGTTTAAAAGTCACCAAAAGGTTAAAAGTATAAGTCCTAATAATTCTTCATATGTATAGGAAATCACCGTAATGATGACTCTGTGAGCTGTTTGCCTCCAAAATATTTTGCAGTTGCAGTTTCTACTGATAAAACATAACTCTAGTAATTAGTGGACTTTCATAGTTATAGCAGTTTGCATAATGTAGGAAGTTAACATTTTTCTTTACCTTTTCTACCTTTCCACCGTTGATGTCACTGGGGAGGAATTTCTTGCCAATTGTTCTCAAGTCTGTCTAAAATAAAAATATTATTATTAAAATATAATTATAAAGAAAAGTAGATCTAAATATAGTCTCAATCACAAATAAAAGATGAAATTACTTAAAGTTTGTGGAGAAAATGTTAAATAAATGTCTTTTAGCTGGTTATGATTTCTACAATATGTAATCAATCTTTTCAAATAACAGTTCCATATATATGCTATTTAAAATGCACCAGTAGTTTGAACATTAATATATAGATAGCCTTAACTCTGGTCATATCTCTTTAGGTAAACTTTTAACTTATTAAATTTTCTATACTGAATTCTAAAACTTTATTTTATGTAAACTATACCCTTACTAAAAAATTAATGCCACAATCCAAAACGAAATAAATTCATAAAAAGTGTACATTCTTGACAATTAAATTTGATACAACCTTGATATCCAGATACATGAAAACACATTATTCTATAGGCTATAGCATCCATAAGATAACAAAGCTATATAATATACAAATATGCCAGGGAACAATTTCACTGCAATAGCAAGGAGTTTATAATAAGACTTCCCATAGTAAAGACGTATTTAATTTAGTTAAAAAATTATAAAAACTGAAATTGGCAAACAAATAGCTAACTGCATGAAAATGCAGAAATACATATTACTCAGCAAACCTCAAAGCAAAACCTAAAAAGTTATCACATTTCTGACATAAAAACAGAACTTCAACTACACAGTCTACATAAAAAGCAGAACTTTTAAGGATTTTTGTCTACTTCAGGAAGTAGAAATGAAAGGAATAGTAAGAAATTTGTTCAGGCCCAGCCGGCGTGGCTCAGTGGTTTAGCATCGACCCATGAACCAGGAGGTCACGGTTTGATTCCCAGTCAGGTCACATGCCCAGGTTGCAGGCTAGATCCCCAGTGTGGGGCGTGCAGGAGGCAGCCAATCCATGATTCTCTCTCATCCTTGATGTTTCTATCTCTCTCCCTCTCCCTTCCTCTCTCTCTGAAATCAATAAAAATATATATTAAAAAAATTTTTGTTCAGAAGAAAACTATCAATACTCATGAATAAGGCCTTATTATTTAGGCTAAGATATTACCTTGATGACTGGGAGTTTGAGGTTAGATTAATAAATCTGTATTGTTTGCTCTTTCTTAAAGTATAAAAATCAGTAGCTCTTCATTGCCTTAAGAGCAAAATGAAAGAAAATAGACTTAGAATGCCTTTAACCACATAAATTATAATGGAAAAATTTGTTAGAGATAAGGAGAAAATACTAGGTGATTAAACTTACTATAATGAACCCTAGCCAGTTTGGCTCATTGGATAGAGCATCGGCCTGGACACTGAAGGGTCCAGGGTTCGATTCTGGTCAAGGGCA